AAAAAAAAAACTAATAGGTGAGTTTATTTAAGTGACACCATACCAGATCGTAGAGGCCCGGGTTAACAACGACCACCACCAGTACTGTTGACAAACAGGGTCTTCTTCTACTTTCAGCTTTTCCCTCTTCAGGGGTCGCCACAGCGAGTCATCCTCCTCCACCTCACTCTGTCCTCTGCATCCTCTGTCCTCACTCCAAATACCTTCATGTCCTTTTTAACTGCATCCATATATCTCCTCTTTGGTCTTCCACTTTGTCTTTTTCCTGGCAGCTGCATTTCTAACATCCTTCTACCAATATACCCACGGTCCCTCCTCTTGACATGTCCAAACCATCTCAGTCTGGCCTCCCTAACTTTATTTCCCAGTTGTTCAACCTGTGCTGTACCTCTGATGATCTCATTCCTAATCTTATCCAGCCTTGTCACTCCTATGGATAATCTTAGCATCTTCATTTCTGCCACTTCCAGTTCTTTCTCCTGTCTTTTTGTCAATGCCACTGTCTCCAGACCATACAATATAGCTGGTCTCACCACTGTCTTGTAAACTTTTCCTTTGACTTTTGTTGACACTTTTTTGACACAAATCACCCCTGAGACTTTTCTCCATCCACTCCATCCTGCCTGGACTCTCTTTTTCACTTCTTTACCACATTCCCCATTTTCCTGGACAGTGGACCCCAAGTACTTGAAGTTGTGCACCTTTGTGACATCTGCTCCTTGTATCCACACTGTTCCACCTGCCTCCCGCTCATTCACACACATGTACTCTGTCTTACCACGGCTGACTCTCATTCCTCTTCTTTCAAGTGCATACCTCCACCTCTCCAAGTTCTTGTCCACCTGTTCCTTGTTCTAACCACAGATCACAATGTCATCTGCAAACATCATTGTCCATGGGGATTCTTGCCCGACCTCATCTGTTAGTCGGTCCATCACTAGAGCAAACAAGAAGGGGCTCAGAGCCGATCCTTGATGCAATCCCACCTTCACCTTGAAGCTATCTGTCACTCCTATAGCACATCTCACCACTGTCCTGCTGTCCTCATACATGTCCTTTACCAGTCTAACATACTTTTTTGCCACTCCAGATTTCCTCATGCAATACCACACCTCTTCCCTCGGCACTCTGTCATATACTTTTTCTAAATCCACAAAGACACAATGGAGTTCTTTCTGACCCTCTCTGTACTTCTCCATCAGCATTCTCAAAGCAAAGATGGCATCTGTGATGCTCTTTCTTGGCATGAAACCAAACTGCTGCTCACAGATAGTCACCTCTCGTCTAAGTCTTGCTTCCATAACTCTCTCCAAGATCTTCATCGTGTGACTCATCAACTTAATTCCCCTGTAGTTGCTACAACTCTGTACATCACCCTTGTTCTTAAAAATGGGCACCAGCACAATTCTTCTCCATTCCTGAGGCATTTTATCACCCTCATGTATGCCATTGAATATTTGAGTCAAAAACCTCACTGCCATCTCTCCAAGATATTTCCAAACCTCCACTGGTATGTCATCAGATACTACTGCCTTCCCCTTCTTAGTTCTTTTCAGAGGTTTCTGAACTTCACCCTCACTAGTCTTTCCCACTTCCTGGTCCACAGATTCTATGGCCTCTACTCTTCTTTCTCTTTCATTCTCTTCACTCATTAGCTCCTCAAAGTACTCCTTCCATCTTCCTGTCGCACTCTCCTCACTTGTTAGAACATTACCATTCCTATCTTTAATAAGCCTAACTTGCTGCACATCCTTTCCAGCCTGATCCCTCTGTCTTGCCAATCAGTACAAGTCCTTCTCGCCCTCTTTAGTGTCCAGTCTCCCATACAGCTTATCGCACACCATCTGCTTTGCCTTAGCTACTTCCTTCTTTGTCCTATGTCCCATCTCCTTATATTCCTGTCTCCTCTCTTCAATCCTCTCACTGTCATATTTCTTCTTGGTTAATCTCTTTCTTTGAATGGCGTCCTGCACTTCACTATTCCACCACCAGGTTTCCTTATCATCCATTCTCTGTCCAGATGACACACCAAGTACCTTCCTACTTGTCTCTCTAATTACTGTTGCTTTAGTAGCCCAGTCATTTGGAAGCTCTTTCTTACTACCCAGAGCCTTTAACAGGTCCTCTATGGATTTCTCACTACATTCTTCCTTCTTCAGCTTCCACCATTTGGTCTT